GTGAAGAAAAAGGAAAAGATAATTATACTCCATGACTGGAAATGAGGACGTATTAGAAAGCCACAATAAGATAGTTGTGCTATTGGCACACAGATGAAAAATCGATGATCAGAACAGAAAGGTCAGAAACAGATTCATGTTCTGCAAGGTAGTAAAGAAATGAAAATCTTCTCAACCAGTGTGCTGCAATAATTGGATAGCCATACATGGAAAAAGATGAAATCTGATGGCTTCCTCACACCACACACATAAATCAATTTTAAAAGGAATGAACCTTCTAGAAGAAAATATAGTAGTAAAAATGTCCTTTAAACTCAAGGAAAATTGTCTTAATCAGGACCCAAACACACAAACTTTATAAAGGGAGAGCATGGTACCTATGACGGTAATCCAACTAAGAACCTCTGTCAACCAAAAGATACTCCTGAGAGAGAGAAAAGGCAAATCACAGAGCAGAAAAGCTTTCTTGAAATACATTTATGATCAATAACATAATTGAAATCAGAATACATAAAGAACTCCTACAATCAAGAGAAAAAAGATGAATAACCCAGGAAAAAATGGTTAAGAAAATTTAAAATTTACTGTACAAAAAAGGATATCCAAATACTTAATAATCTTAAAGAAACTTCCTCAGTTTTCTTAGTGATTATAGAAATGCAAATGATCACCACTGTAAGATGCCATCACACAAACACCCAAAGGCTAAAAATAAAAATACTCAGAATTGCAAGTATTGGGGAAGATATGGGATGCTTGAAGTATACAATACCAGTGGAGTAAAAATTTGTACAACTGTTTTAGAAAACAGGTGACATTATCAAGTAAAGTTCAAGATTCATTACCCTAAGACAGAACAATTTTAGTCCAAGGTATATACTCAACAAAAATGTGGCCACATGTGCAACAAGAAGCGTATATTTTTAAAACCAGTATTATTGGGCTAGGCGCGGTGGCTCATGCCTATAATCCCAACACTTTGGGAGGGAGAGGAAGGCGCATCACTTGAGGTCAGGAGTTTAAGGCCAGCCTGGACAACATGGCAAAACCCCATCTCTACTAAAAATACAGCTGGGTGTGGTGGTGGATGCCTGTAATCCCAGCTACTTGGGAGGTTCAGGCACCAGAGTTGCTTGAACCCAGGAGGCAGAGGTTGCAATGAACTGAAATCATGCCACTGCACTCCAGCCTGGGTGAAAAAACAAACCCAGGCTGATACAAACAGCCTGGGTGATAAAAACAAACAAAAAAAGCCGTATTATTAATCACAGTAAAAATTGGAAACAACCTAATGTAACAGAAAAAAAGATGCCATTTTCAGTTACAATTTGTGTAGGAACGAATTTTTGAAAAGATATGCAAAGACATGATGAAAAAAGTATAAAACATTATTAAAAAAGGAACAAGATAATTCATATGTACAACTCAATATTGCAAAGTTGTCAGTTCTCTCAAGTTAATCAATAATTTCAATGTAGTTCCAACAAAAATCCTAAAAGCGTTTTATTATGGCATTTCACAAAATGACTTTAAAACTGAACATAATAATAAAGTTCCAAGGAGAGCAAGACTATTCTGCCTTTATCAAACTACATTATAAAGCTACAAATATTACAAAAGTGTGGTAGAGAGAAGTTAGAAACAGTTTTGAATATTTATAGAAATTTAGTATATTACTGAGAGGGATTACAAATTAATGGAGAACAAAATAGCATGCAATTGATGGTGTTGGGACAATTGGCTATCTATATGAAAAAAATACCTCTCCCAACTTCCAATTAGATTAAAGACCCAAATATTAAAAATAGAACTTGAATATTTTTGAAGAAATGTGGAATATCTTCACTACATCAGTATAGGGGTGAATTTCTTAAACATGACAGAAAAGCATGAAATACATACACACACATAGATGAACAAATTTTACTACCTTCAAAATTACAAACTCCTCTCCAGGCACGATGGCTCATGCCTGTAATCCCAGCACTTTGGGAAGCTGAGGTGGGTGGATCACTTGAGTCCAGGAGTTCGAGACCAGTGTGGGCAACATAGTGAGACCCTGTCTCTACCAAAAATACAAAAATTAGCCAGGCATGGTGATGCTCGCCTGTAGTCCCACCTACTCAGAGAGGCTGAGATGGGAGGATCGCTTGAGCCCCAGGAGTTTCAGGCTGCAATGAGCCGATCGTGCCACTGCACTCCAGCCTGAGTGACAGAGTGAGATCATGTCTCAAAACAAAACAAAAATTTACAAACTTTTGTACAACAAAATAAATCACAATCAAATTTAAAAGGCAACATGTTGGGAGAATGTAATTGCAATACTAAGAAAAATTGGCATTCAGATTCTTGACGAACTCCTATAAATCAATATAAAATATTTTTACTATCATGATACTATTGGTAACCTGCAGGCAGCAACCACAGAAGACAGCAAGACTAATATGAATGAACACTTAAAAAAGAGGCTGCTCTGGTACATACCAGTTGAATGTTAATCCTCTAAATAACCTTTAACAAAATCAACAAAATATTATGTGAACACAGAATAATGTAAACCCCCTCTCAGCAAAAAAGAAAAAAGTCAAATTTGAAACGAATGCTTTCCTTCAGGCAAGGAATTAGCATTAGTTAATAGAAAACTGATGCTAACTTCTTGAATGATAACATTTTAGGTTGGGCAATGTGAAATGGCCATTTTTAAAGCAAAAGATGGTTTAAAACTGGCAATTTCAAATGATTCAACCTCTATATTCTTAATTTAACTATGGTATTGTAAATTGCCAGTTTATACACAATATTCCAACCTGTAGAGCTAAACACAGAACCTGTATATCAACTAATATACAGCTAAACACAGAACCCGTATATTAACTAATGGGCTTGAAACTAGTCAATAAGACTAAAACTTGATTTTACTGAATTATGTAAGTCAGTTTACAGTGTTATGTTTTCCTGGAATTTGATATAAAAATTGATTTAGAGCCCACTAAAAATGTAATTATTTATGTTTGTCAAAAATTGTGAAATATGCTTAGATGATTAGTTAAAGCCTAAACCTGAAGAGAGAAAAATCTAACTAAACTTAAATTGGTTGAATTTACAAAATTGGCCTTTTTATCCCCATTTTAACCCCACCAATGTCAACTTCTTTGTATCATTACACTATAAAATTTCCAGTATAATTTTTGAAATAGCATCTCTGTTGGTTCCCTTAATCTAAAAGGTTTTCACAAAGTTTAAGAACAACCTTAAATATTACTGGAACAAAAACAGACATGTAGACCAATGGAACAAAATAGAAAGCCCCAGAATAAATCCATGCATTTATAGTCAGCTGATGTTCGACAAAGGTGCCAAGAATCCAAGATGGGGAAAGGACAGTCTCTTCAATAAACAATACTGGGGAAACTGAATATCTACTTGTGGAAGAATGAAATTGCAACCTTTCTCACCCATATACAAAAATCAACTCAAAGTAAATGCTTAACTGTGAAACCTGAAACTGGAAAACTACTAGAAGAAAACATAGGTGAAAATCTTCTTGACATTGGTCTGGGACAAGATATTTTTGGATATGACTGAAAAACATAAGCAACAAAAGAAAAAGTAGACAAATGATACTGTATCAAACTAAAATGCTTTTGCACAGCAAAGGAAACATTTATAGAGTAAAGAGACAACCTACAGAACGGGAGAAAATATCTACAAAGCATACATTTGATAATAGGTTAATAGATTTTTTTTTAAAAAGGAACTCAGACAACACAATAGCAAGAGAACAAGTTACTTCTCTAGAAAATGGGCAAAGAACCTGACAAGGTATTTCCCAAAAGAAGACACACAAATGGCTGAGAGGTATATGAGAAAATGCTAAACATCATTAATCATCAGGGAAAAGCAAATTAAAACCATAGAGATATCCTCACACCTGTTAGGATGGTCATTAACACAAAGACAAAAGAAGAGTTGGTGAGGATGCAGAGAAAAGGGATCCCCCTTGTACACTGTTGGTGTGAATGTAAATTAGTAGTTATTGTGGAAAACAGCACTGATTCCTCAAAAAAATAAAAATAGAACTACCATATGATTTGGAGATTCCACTTCTGGGTATATATCCAAAGGAAATGAAATCTGCACTCTCATGTTCACTACAGCATTATTCCTAATACCCAAGCTATGGAGTCCATGTAAATGTCATCAATGGATGAATGGATAAAGGACATGTGGTATGTATAAATAAAGGCATACTCTTCAGCCTTAGAGGATATCCTGTCACTTGAGATAATATGGATGAATCTGGAGAACATTGTGCTAGGTGGAATAAACCAGGCACAGAAAAACAAATACTGCATGTCTCACTTATTCGTGGAATCTAAAAATGTCAAATTCATAGAAGCAGAGAGTAGAGTGGTTACCAGGGTTACCAGGGACTGGGGGGACAAAAGTGGGGGGATTGTGGAGATGTTGGTTTTTACTTTATTATTATTTTTTTTAGATGGAGGTTTCTTCTTGTTGCCCAGGCTGGAGTGCAATGGTGCAATCTTGGCTCACTGCAACCTCTGCCTTCCGGGTTCAAGCGATTCTTCTGCCTCAGCCTCCGGAGTAGCTGGGATTACAGGTGTATGCCACCGCACCCAGCTAATGTTTTGTATTTTTAGTAGAGATAGGGCTTCACCATGTGATCCACCTGCCTCAGCCTCCCAAAGTGCTGGGATTACAGGTGTGAGCCACTGTGCCCAGCCTGAGATGTTGATTAAAGGATGCAAAATTTCAATTAGACAGGAAGAATAAGTTCAGGAAATTTATTGTACAACATAGTGACCATAGTTAATGATAATGTATACTTGAAAATTGCTGAGAGAGTAGATTTTAAAAGTTCTCACCACAAAAATATGTGGAGCAATGAATATGTTAATTAGCTTGATTTAGCCATTTCACAATGCTTATATACATCAAAACATCATATTGTACATCATAAATATATCGATTTTTATGTTAATTTAAAAATTTAAAAAGATCAGCCTTAAATAAAACAAAAGTACTCTGACATTCTAAAATTAAAGACTGTTTCTATTTTGAGAGATATAAACTGGCAAAGCAAAAATAAAGAAATCCAAATACTAGGAAAACGAGGGAAAATATGCTCAACCTTCCATAGTTCTTTTTTCCTGCTTTCTTTCCTTCCTTATCCTCTCCCTGTCTCCTACCCTTCCTCCTCTCCTCTTTCCTTTCTCCTTCCCTTCTTTCAGTCTTGGGGCTAATATTTTTAAATGCTAACAATTGTTAATATGTATTAATAGCAATATGTATCTTGTTCTTGTACTTTATCTATATTTACATGTCTTTAGAAAGGGAGAAATAAAAAGGAAAATGTTATTACCTCGCCTCCTTTACAGCTAGTCGCTATGATGTTTTCAAGATCTTGAGCCATCCACTCATTTACTTCCTTGGTGAAAACCACCATCTCACTGATTTCAAGTTTAAGATTTTTAGTTAAAATATTTTCAAAAAATCAAGCCCAATATAATTAGCCCTCTTCTGATAGTAAACTTAGCATAAAACTTACTGTAGAGTGGGGACATTATGATCATCAATCATGATTCTACTGACCCTATTATGCAAGTGTTTAGGATCATAAGCTCTTTCACCTAAAATAAATAATATGTATGTCATATCTCTATAGGGAATAATATGATAAACGATGAAGTTATGAATAAATTAACATATCTTATTGGAATTCCTTATCTATCTTCAAAAAGAGCTTTCCAAGTTGCTCCTGCCACTCTAAAATAAACACAAGGGTCTCAAAAACGTAAGGATGGTAGTGGTTTATCCATCTCATGTAACCTAAACTCAACTTATTTTTGTTTAATAGGTATAATTTTTAACTTTCTAGCAGACCATTCATTATATTATTGCAGGGTAGTTAGAAACCACACAAGAGGCAAATGTAGCTGACCAAAATTATTGCCCCCTGAAAATGTCTATTGAGTATACAGGTAGAGGAAAAAATCAAGAGAGACAGAGTATTAATCTGGGTTACAACCTATTTTCCACAGAGTTTTTTGCTTTTTTCCCATCTAGGGCTCTGCTCTCATCACAGCCCACTGCTGGTGGGGCAGAGGACTCGTTTGTTAAATTGTCTATGTCCTCATAACACAATCTGGCAGGAAAAACAAAAAGATTTTCCTAAACCTAATATCGCTAGAACAGATCTTCACGAAAATGGTTTGCTTCCACTCCAGCCTCACTGGTCCTGCCAAAAGCCTCCTCCTTCACAGGGAACTTTGTGCTGCTGGGCTAACTCCTTCTACTAAATGGGGCCAGTCCAAGATGGGGATTTTTAAATTCATTCCTTGCCACCACCAAATACTTACGATTAAATGCAAGGTAAAAAGCATAATCATCTTCTTACATACAGTAAACTGTTTTCTATCTACAGTAGCAAAATATAGAGTAATGTACATACTGCATAGATTGTAGACTCGATAGTGGTTTGGATGTTTCTTATCTAGAAACCACACGACTTCCTAAAAAAGACAAACACATATCTTACATATTTACATGGCACCAACATAAGCTATTTCCTAGGGGGAACCTAAAATGGTTATTGCTTTCATTAATTTGTCTCTCACTAGCATCTTCTAGGGGAGATTTAGAGAATACAAGGTATGCAAATTTCAAGTTCTAATCCACTGTGATTTTTCAAATAGTCCACAAAGTGTGTTTGGCTACTCAGATGAATCTCTTGTAAATACACACTGTTTAAGCTATCAGATAAGGAAATTAGCTGGTTAACTAACTTTAAGTAATTTGTTCTAAATCATTAATTCACAGTTAATGTGGTTCTTGTTTAAATCTAATTCATATTGGAGTTCTTATTTAAATTTAATTACGGATAGATACATCGTTATAGAGTGATCTGCATATTACAGTCTACCTAAGCACTATGTAAACAAATAAATGCAAAAAGCATACAGTGTTATTGTGTGTATGCATGATAGAAAAATATAAACATATCAAATTTTAAATAACTGGTAACAATATGGAGACTGTTTTGGCTCATCTGTTCTCTTATTTTTTAAAATGAAGATATATGTGTACCTATGAGTGTGTGTGTATATATATATGTATATATATGTGTAACCTTTAAAATGAAAAACAAATAGTAGTTATTATTTAAAATACATTTAATACCACTATATGAATCCAACTTTCAGTAAATGTACCTTTCTGAAACATATACACACATAAGTATATATCTCTGTGCAACAACAAAAATGACACAAAATCTTAAAACTGATTAGTATGTTACCCTCAGAGCAATGTTTACTGGCTTAATATTGAGAAAAATAAAATTAAGGTATCAAAATCATCCATTTATTCAACTAGCTATCTCTGTTAGGAAGAAATAATAAGTCAAAAAGATGAACACTCTGAATCTACATAGTGGGGGAGGCAAGGATAAACAGTTTTATATACTTCAGAATTCATGGAATTTCTTACATAAAATTCATATGGGTTTAGAAATCACATATAAAAACCACAAATGTCTATGAGATATTTAAGCAAATTTTAATCAATTCTTTGGATGAGGAAGAACTGAAAGTGTTGAATCAATGGAAGATCAATAGGCTTAGGTTTGACTTCATAAAAATCTGAAATTTCAGCTTAAAAATGCTATAATGAATAACAGGGGAAGCGATTTTTCAGAAAAATGGAGTGAATGAGGACTATGCCTAGTATGATAAATTAATAATTCATTAACAACAACTTAAATATTACTCACCTTATAGTGTCACTCCAAGGACATAAACAATCCATAAAAGAGAAAAATCTAACTGATTAACAACCTACATAAATATTCAGTGTCACCAATAAAGAAGTCAAAACAATGACATGCCATTTGCATCCATGAAATTAACCCTTTCCCTTTTAATGAGAAAATCCAATGTTGGCAAAATAAGGCATGAAATTTAAAACTTTGATTTATTGTTGATACAAGAATACAATTGCTCTTGGATTTGGCAATATATATTAAGAACCCTAAAAATATTCATACTCTTAGCTAGGTAATGTCACTCCTAGCAATCTATATGGAAAAAGCCTTATGTGCAAAGATGTCTGTTACTGTATTATTGATTATAGTGACACTTAAATGTCCAACATTAGAGGTTAATCACAGAACTAATGAAATATCATGCAACCATTAGAATACAGTCCTGTCCTTCGTTTCACTTTATTTTATTTTATTTTATTTTGAGATGGAGTTTCACTCTTGTTGCCCAGGCTGGAGTGTAATGGTGCGATATCAGCTCACTGCAACCTCTGCCTCCCAGGTTCAAGCAATTCTCCTGCCTCAGCCTCCTGAGTAGCTGGGATTATAGGCGCCTGCCACCACATCTGGCTAATTTTTTGTATTTTTAGTAGAGACGGGGTTTCACCATGTTAGCCAGGCTAGTTTTGAACTCCTAACCTCAAGTGATCCACCCTCCTCAGCCTCCCAAAGTGCTGGGATTACAGGTGTGAGCCACCACGCCAGCCCCTGTCCTTCATTCTCTCAACAAGTATCTCACAGTGGTAATTTGTGTGTAGCCTTCCTTAGCATACATATATAGAAAAAGTCAATATTTGCTTTTTCATGGGAAAACAAATATACCTGGATGGTTAAGCTTTAGGGATTTTTCTGAATCCACTTCCTAGTTCTCTCAATGTCTAAAAAATTACATATATATAATTTTTGTAATCATATAATATATAATTTTTATAATCATATATATATATCAACTCAATATTTAGATGATTTACTGCTGTGTTTTTTGATCTAAGTAGTTTACTGAAGACTCTAAATACCTCTTATCCAAATTAGGTGAAAAAGGACATAAAGAATCTAGAAAAAATTTCAACTCTGCTAAGAATCTACATTTTTCTGGTCACAATCTGTCACCAGATGGACAGTTTCTGTTTTCAGCCAGAATAAAGCGATTCAATTCTACCAAGAACAGAAATTAAAAGATGGTTAAGAAGATTGTAGGAATGTAGGTAATTGCATATCTGATTTTTCTCAATAGCTCAGCCTTTGCATGGGCTCACTAAGTTTATAATTTCTGAAACTCTTCCTTGTGATGCAAAAGTAGAAAATGCTATCTACTCCACAAGGCCAGGTGTGGTGGCTCACACCTGTAATCCCAAGCCTTCTTGCAACAAACTCCACCTCCGGGTTTTCCCAAATCTACCAAACTCTTCTCTCTGCCTATCTTACTACATTCCTTGATTTGGAGGCAAAGGTATACTTCTGTACTTGCATGAGGTGGTAGCAGTGGCCAAACGTGTTGATGCTTCCACCATAGTGCTTGTCTCTCCACTAACTCTATGGGTCCTGCATCTCTAAAGTTTCTGCTACTTCAAGGCAGCATCTGACATTTCCCCACTAGTCAATTTACCACTTATGAAACTGTAATGTCTGCTTTGCATATTCGCTGCTGTTCAAAATGTAACCCTGCAACTTTATTCCCTTTTAAGAATAAAGGGGAATCACATGACTGTTTAGCATCCTCTCAGGAGTTAAGTATGCCTGGATTTGAATCTTCTCCCTTTTAGTCAAAATTGATTTAATACACTTTGTAGATGGTTCTCAAATATGACAGAGACACTCCCAGTGCAGGATATGCTGTTATCATTGAACATGCAATCACTGAAGTGCTCCATGGCCTGATTCCCAGCCTGCCCAGTAGCTGAACTAGTAGCTTAGATTTGGGGCTGCACTCTGGCAAAGTTGAAAGACTAAATATTAATATGGATGGTAGATTTGCTTTTTGGGTGGTTTATGATTTGTGGAATTTATTAAAAACACGTGATTACCTCCTTTTTGGATACTCTGATTAAAAGTGGTAAAGGAATCAATGACTTATTAGTACTTTGTCAATGCCCCAAGGAGATAACAGTTTAATAACTGATAGAAACCAAGAGTCTAGAGATCACCCCAGAAGGAAATAGTCATGTCTTTGTTTTGATTTACATGCTAAAAGTTTTTGGCTTTTTAAATACACCCCAGCTAATATTAAGTGTTGCCAAATTTGTATTAGTCACTACCAAATCTACTAAAAGAAAATAGGCTCAATTTAGACATGCTATAATTAACTCACAGTTATTAGCTTAACCTGCTTTAAAAAACAGTATTAGCAATCAAGAGATGTTTTACCCATAAAGATGGAATTTGAAAATTTTGGGATGGCTGCCCTCAAGTGCCATGACCCATCCGGTGGGCCCTAGTCACGTTACTCCATGGCTGTGCCCATTAGGAGCAACAAAAAGTAATTCCACCTCCAATAAATAGTTTGAAACAATTTTCAAAATTGGCCAAGGGAGTGGTAGAGTCATGTCTTAGCCGAGAATAGCATAACCTGGGTGAGATGTGGTTCAGACCCTTCTCTTCAAGGTTTTTAGGTATTTACAAATGTACTTTTATACAATTGCTGAAGTGTTGAGTCTCTGACTATATATTAGTTATTTTTTGTAAACTATCTGCATGTATAAAAATGCTTCCCTGCCTGAGAATAAGGTAGAATCATTCCATCAGTGGTCTCAATTCTTCACCTTTTCCTGAATCCAAGCCCTCGTATTTCACCTCGTAGTACCCTTTCACTCTAATTTTGTGTTCCATTATGTGAGCTGATTTGGCCACTGGGATGCCACAAAGGAGAGGCCTGCCAAAGCACTGGCAAGATTCCACTCTAGCTCTTTTCTTTTGCCATTACCATGAAACATATCCATCATATTCATCCGGATGGAGGATGAAGATGAGTTGAGCAGATAGGAGTTACCCAAGGCACTTAAGCTAAGGTAATTGTAGGCCAGCTGACAAAGACATTTCAAGGAAAGAAAACTACATATCACTCATGAACACAGATGAAAAGTTCTACATAAAATATTAGCAAACAGAATCTAGTGTTATATAAAAAAGATAATACGTTAAGACCAAAAGGAATTTATTCCAAAAATAAAAAAGGTTAGTTTAACATTTGAAAATCTCATTAATGGAATAACAGAAAAACATTTTGATTACCTTGATAGATGCAGAAAAAATATCTGATATATTCAATACCAATTCATGATTCAAAACTTTTAGCAAACTAGAAATAAATGGACTGTGTTAATCTAGTAAGGAATGACTACAAAAGCCTATAGCAAACATCATTTCAAATAGTGAAGCATGAAATTCTTTCCACCCAAGTTTAGGAACAGGGCAAGGCTGCCTCCTCTTACCACTTCTATTCAATATTACAGTGAAAGTACTAGATAATTCAATAAAGAAAGAAAATAGTATAAAAAGTGGGAAGAAAGTAGTAACTTTATATGATTATATACATTTAAAAAATCCCAGGGAATCTACACATTCATTATTAAAATGAATGTGTGAATTTATGAAGGATGCTAGATGTAAAGTCAACATACAAGGCCAGGTGTGGTGGCTCACACCTGTAATCCCGGCACTTTGGGAGGCTGAGGTGGAAGGACTCTTTGAATACAG